GGTGACTGTGGGCATGGGGGTCCCAGATGCATATGAGGGGCTTCCCTACCTTCTCCAGGCACCCAAGGCTTTTCTTCATCGGGATGAGTCTTTGCTTCGGGGAGCTGCTGTCTGCACAGGGCTTGTGAACAGGCACTGCTAGAGGAAACTCAAGCCAGCTCGGCATCTCCTTCCCTCCTGGCTTCAGCAGACCACTGTGAAATCATCTGCAACCTTCTGTGTGTAAGAGAGCAGGAGAGCTAGATGCTGTTGTGAGGCCTGTTGCATCCAGCACCGTGAGTGCTTTCTCCCACAGCTAGAGCTATTTGGGGCCTTTCTCAGATTCACCCTGAATCCCGGCCCTGCAACGCAGATCGCCGTGGGAAGCAGTTTCAAGGTCGCTGGTAGTTGCCCTACTGTGACTCTGGTTGGGCTCCAAAGCTCAGAGCTTTACTCCCTCCTGCTCAGTGTTTGGACCACAATTTAGAAATCTGCTGTGGTTTCCAGCAGAGCAGTCCAGAGGTGTGGACCTAGTGAGACTGTAGGCCGGGTTGGTTCCCGAGCTGATTAGCAGTGTCCTGCTTGGTAAAGAGAGGAGAGGCTCTGGCGTCCGGCCCAGTGGGTGGTTCCTAAGGATACCTTTGACTTGAGGAAGGTGCGTTCCCCAGAGACGGCCAAGAATGCAGTCCTGGGAGCGCGAGGATGGACCGGGGCATCTGAACTCCCACTTCCCCCTTGCTGGATTTGTTGTCGTGGAGCGGGGGGAGGATGGTCAGTTGCCTGCCGGGGGCATCTCCCTGGCATCTGACACTGGGGGCTGCAGCAGCCCCGTACTTTGTTCACCCCCAGCCCTCTGCCTTTTGCCTTCTGTGCATCTGTCGCGCTGTCTTCCAGCGACCTGTCGTTCTGGAGGTCCCTGGGGTGGTGCTAGCCCCGCGCTCCTCGCTGGCTGCTCTGTCCAGCCTTCCCCACAGTTGCCTGCTGCTCCCTGTGCAGCTTCCATCCTTGCTGGCTTTGCTGCTCTCTGCCCTCTTTCCCCATGCTCCTCTTCAGAGGCCCTTTTTCTGAGGTCCCATTTGCCTACTTAGTCACCTGGGTTGTCGTCTCTACTCCCCTGTCTGGCCAGGCTCTGCCCTCTCTAAGCTGCTGCTGTTGCCATCACTATCCCCCACCCTCTGTGCCCATCGATGGTCTCCATTTTAGGCAGGGCTTTCTTCTCCAAGTCCCCCCGCTCTCTTGATACCAGTGAATCTCTGCTGACTTCTCAGTCTAGGTCAATCATGTTGCAACCAGCATCTCGCTGACCTGGCCTTGTCCCCGTTCCCCTCAGCAGGGCCAGCTCTGGCTCATCCGCTTACCTTTCCCCCAAGCACGTGAGTTCTCCTTTCCATGCCCTTCACCCTCTGCAAACAACTCTTGTGCTGCTGGGCTTTCTCCCCAGCTCTGTAGGCCTGCCACCACTCAAGCATGCTAGCGAGTCATTGCTGTGTAGGAGGGCAGGGAGGGGGGACAGTGCTCCATGTACCCCCAGAGTGGAGACACCAGCCTGCCTGAGCACGTGCTTGCCTCTCCCTCCCTGTGCCTCTTGGGCTGGAGCAGCTGTACATTAGGAGAGCACCTGCTTGTGAAATCATAGCCCAGCCCTGGTGGGATGTGGTGGAGGAGGGGGATGGGCTACAGCTCTTCTCCATCAGGCATCCTGCTTCCAGCTTGTTGGCCAGCAGGCTGCTTTTGCAGCTGCTGGTGTCCCCTCACTCTTCTCTGCATCTTTCTAGGGGACTTCTTCTGCTTTTTCGGAGTAGAGTATCGCAGAGTCTGAGGGGGATGGGTAGGGAAGCAGACTGGGAGCTTTAACACTTGTCTGAAGGGGGTTGGGGACTTCTTTTTCTGGCCTGAGGGTGCTACAAAACCTGATGTATTCTGTTCACCAGGTCTCCCAGGCATCGGGACTCTCGGGGGATGAAGTGTGTGTGCATGTTAAAAATCTTAGAACAGCGGGGCTGTAAGGGACCTCTGGAGGTCACTTCTAGTCCAGCCCCCTGACTGAGGTCCATTAGATGCACGGCAAGTGCAGAACAAGGAGCAATGGTCTACAGTTGCAGCAGCAGCAGCAAGGTTGGATATTAGGAAAAACTTGCTCGCAAGGAGGGTGGTAAAGCACTGGAATGGGTTGACTTGTAGGGTAGAGTCTCCATCCTTGAAGGTTTTCATAGTTTCTAGGGTCGGAAGGGACCTGGGCAGATCATCTAGTCCGACCCCCCTGCCATGGCAGGAAAGAGTACTGGGGTCAAACGACCCC